AATCTTTCTTCTGAGCATCTGTCATAGATTTTCTGTCTATCTTCTTGCCATTCCCATTTGTGGGATGAACATATCCATCTATGACTAGATCCCATAAATCAGCATCATATCCAAGGAAAAAACTTTCAATTATGTCTTTCCAGTAATCAAATTTCTCCCCATCAAACATAGGGGGTTTGGTGCTGATTCTGTCCCTTTCTTCATATTTATTGTTAATGTTGGATATTGTATTATCAGCCATAGTAACAACTAAATATATATCAAAGTATTTCTCTCTGGATCTTTACTGTCACTGTTAAGTGGTAGCACACACAGAACCGGAGCTCTGATGCCAACTGAAGGTGAGATAATACTTAGAGGGGGGGGGGGGGGGGGTTGAATAAGTATGAAAGATTAAAACTTAGAATTAAAACACAATTATTTTTATCCTGGTTCGTTGAACTCAACTACTCCAGTCCACCCTTCCTAGAGTGATTTGCCTTTCTCAAACAAGGACTTAATCCACTATTTAATCAAACAGATTACAATAGTAACACCTAAGACCAACTGTTCTTAGTCTTCTCAAGAGCTACTGATTCCAACAGAATCCTCTTAAGGAAATCCTTTACAATCAATGTAAATCTAATACAAGAGTAAGAATGCTTCTAAAAAGCTTTAATCACAACAGTGATATTTCTCTTAAGTTAAAGTACAATGAAATAAGTTCTTAGAAAGAATATGAAAGTATGAGAGCTTGAGTGTTTTAATTCTTTTTCAACAAAACGTCTAACTGAAGAATATGGTGGAGTCTTGCTTTTATAGGCAGCTGATCCAAGGTAAGCTGCACGTTGAGAAGAGTGTCCAAAAGGTCTGAGCCTTTTTGTCTTCACATCAAGTGACCTTTCCTAGAAGAAGAAAGCACAGAAAAATCCTTTTTGTCTGTGTTCTTGTGTCTAGCATAAATAAGGAAAGAGACGTTTGATTTACTCCAACGGATATAATCTTTGAATATTTCTTCTTCAGTTTTCAGCAAGTTCATCAGAGTCTAATTGGGTCAGAGTCTTCTGATGATGATCAGAGCTTGCTGGATCAGAGTCTTCTGCAGCAGGTATGCTTTCAGCGTGTTAAATATCAGAGCATATTTGAAACAGAACTTCAGTACTTGCAGCTTTAGTACTTTCAGAAACTTCCGTAGAATCTATGCTTTGAAAAACTCTTCATACAAAATTCTTCTTTGCTTCAGATGCTTCTGACTTGCTTCAGATCCTTCTAGAGCTTCTGCTTCAGATCCTTCTGGAGCTTCTGCTTCAGAATCTTCTGGAGGCTACACTCAGGATCTTCTGTTGGCAGCAATCAGAATCTTCTAATGAATGCATCTGGCGCTTCAGAGTTTAGCTCATTTCTTGTATTCAATTCTGATTTGCTTCTGGAGTGTTAATTTCTTTACTATCTGCAGTAAAAACTCTCAAGCAAATTTTAGAGTATATAATTCTTAAATACAAAATTTCCTAATAGTTATCATCAAAACATAGAGATATTATTAAGAACCAACCTGTGTTCTAACATAACCAACCCCTTACCTAGGTCTCTCCCCGCATTGTGTTCACGATGCAAAAATAGGTTTTCCCTCTTTTGACATTTTCCTTCGGATAAATCAAAGAGCGGTTGTGAATTGAATTGTGATTCAAACTAATTAATAGTTTGATATCCTATTTCCACCGCAACAGAACAAAAAAGACATTTTGTGTGCGTTTAGAGAAATGTTCTCTAGGATTCTTTTTTGAATCAAACTTGAGTCTAATCAAGAGTCTCTCACTTTTATGGTGATTTTACATTCATATTATCATTCATTTGTGGAGGTGGTGATTTGCTGCTTTTCTTTCCTACTCTATATTTTCTTGTTTGTATTTTTTATTTCATTTGTTACTTTGATAGAATCATATCACTTAGATAGATCTTCAAATCTTATGGAAGCACTCAAATCCATACAAGTCTGATTGTGCTCTCTTGTCTTAGATTTCTTTCATTGATGGTCATTTTCTATTGGCTCAACTCTCATTGCGAGTACTTTATCTTGAAAATTTTATCTGATATCTTTATTTTTATCTTTATACCCCTATATTTTATTAAAAATATCAATTTTAATCTTTTATATTTTTAACTAATTTATTATTTTATTTTTTAAATATTTTTAAAATTTTATTTTGCTTACGGAAAGACTTTGCAAAAGAATTTTGATAGTTATTTTTCAAGTATCTTTTAACTATTTTTTGTATAACGAAAGACTTTGCAAAAGAGTTTTAATAGTCAAATTTAGTGTACTGCAAGACTTTACAAACGAATTCCGGTAGTCATATTTTAAACTTTTTTTTGTGTGTATCAGAAGACTTTACAAAAGAATTTCGATAATCAATGTGTACCAGAAGATTTTGAGAAAGAGTTTCGGTAGTTATTTTTTAAAATATTTTTTTAATTATTATTTTGTGTATCGAAAGACTATGCAAAAGAGTTATGGTAGTCAATTTTTGTGTACCGAAAGTCTTTACAAAAGAGTTTCGCTAGTTAATTTTTTAAACTTTATTTATATACCGGAAAACATTGTAAAAGAGTCCGATAGTCAATTTTTATTTATTGAAAGACTTTGCAAAAGAGTTTCGGAAATAAAATATTGTGCACCGAAAAATTTTACAAAAGAGCTTCAGTAGTCAATTTGTGTACTAGAAGACTTTGCAAAAGAGTTCCAGTAATCACTTTTTAAACATTTTTTTAACTTTTATTTTATGTATCGGAACTCTTTTGCAAAGTCTTTCAGTACGTAAAATAAAATTTAAAAAATATTTAAAAAAAATAAAATAATAAATTAGTTAAAAATATAAAAGAGTAAAATTGATATTTTTATAAAATGTAGGGATATAGAGATAAAAATAGAGGTATGAGGTAAAATTTTCCATTATCTTTTTGGTTGGTATCTGGTAGTCTTGGTTGTGACGAAACAAAGTGATTTTAAGAGATGAAAAGTGATTTATTTTTGAAGTTGTGCAAGTTAGATTGTCTAAAGATGACTTTTCCACTATATATATCAATTAGAAGCAGACTAGTTATTCTTATTTTAACTCTTATTTTAAACCAGTAAATTCCTATTCTTGGTCGATCCATTAAAGTTAATATTGATGCAAATGTCTTTCTAATTTCTTGTTTTTTAGATTGGTTATTAGATCGTGATTTGTGAAGTCAAACCATTCTAAATAAAGTCAATCACATGTTTCAGTTTTATGCAGGCGTGCTCTTCCAAATTGTTGCTTTTTTGGACCGAGTTTGGTTGGTCTTTCTTTCTCATGTTCTTTGTGAAGCTAATGAATGTGCTGCTTTTTTCGCTTAGGGCCCTCACGCTAGTGTTAATATGTGCCAATGGTGTTCTCATCCCCCTGAGTTAGGATCTATAATTCTTTTAGACCAACTCCAATTCCAACGGGAGTTGTTAAAGTGGGTTTGCCAGCATGGCACCCATATTTGTTGTTTCCAACATTGTCATGTTGTTCAACGACATATAATTATGCAATGTTCTTCAACGAATTCCATATTAAAATATTGATTTTATAATATAAAAACTAGTCGTTGTTCGACGGCTAGTTACTTTTTTTTCAACTTAATTTTGTTGTTGTTATAAATATAGCTTTAATCCAAAAAATTTACCAACACAAATTTTCTTTAACTTTTATTTTTTTCTTGAATTTGAAATTTCTCTCAAAATTTCATCAATTTTTTTTAAACTTATTATTTTTTCCAACAATTATTTAGGCCAAATGGATCCTAATCATTTTCATTATCATCCAGCTATGTTCAATTACATGCAAAATTTACAAAATCTTAATCCTCAAAATTCTCAAATTCCATCAGTGCCAACAAACCCTGCCATGTTTTTTCCGTCACCAAACAATTCAAATATGTATCCTAGACCTCAAATGAATTCTAATAGTATGATTTCTCTACTGAAGTTCCACCATTTTCTATTCAAGTTGGTACTGAAAAAGAAGAAAGAGTTGTCGTTAAAAAAATCTCGAGAGCAATTTACAAGGGACGAGGATTTACGACTTATCCAATCATGACTCAATATTTCAAAGGATCCAATTGTGGGAGTTGATCAAAAGGCTGAGAGTTTTTGGTTAAGAATCGCTGCTAGTTATAACCAATATCGTGGGCAATCGCGGGAAAAGTTAGGGGGACAATTAAAATGTCGATGGCATAGAATAAATGGTATGATTCAAAAATTTGTTGGGTGTTACAAAAGTGCTCTTAAAGGAAAGAAAAGTGGGACATCGGAGACCGATGTTTTGGCAGATGAACATGCTATTTTTGCTCAGGATCAAGGTACAACATTCAATCTTGAGTATGCATGGAGATTGTTAAAAGATGAAGTTAAATGGCGCATCGTCGAAGAATTGATTGGAAGTTCTTCAAAAATAACAAAGACTTCTGCTAGTGAGCCATCACCGGAGAACCCAGATATTCAAGTTATGAGTTTAACTCATCATCACCAATAGAGCATCTAATGGAACAAAAAGCAGCAAAAAGGAAGGGTAAGACAAAGGAAATTCCAAATGCAACGCAAGATGCAAAGAATAAAAGGGCAATAACAATGGAAAGACTTGCGCAGGCTAAGGAGTACGAGATAAAATTAAGGGTAGTGCAAATGATGATGAAAGACACTTCTACTATGAACGATAGTCAACGAGATATTCATGAAAAATATTGTAATAAGATGAAGAAAAAAATGGAATGTAGTTAGTATCACTTATGTAAAATGGTCATTAGTACCACTTTAATTTATCAACAGCTATGTAAAATGGTCATTAGAACCACTTTAATTTAAACTAGACGTTATTCAAACTAGCACTTTAATTTAAACTAGCCGTTATTCAAACTAGAAGTTATTCAAACCATTATATATACTACCACTTATGTCATTGTTCTCTCGTTTTCATCTTATTCTTCTTATTTTTCTCTCATTCTTTACTCACTAAATGGATTCAAACAATTCAGATAATTACGATCAAGAATTTTGGGAGTTGGTTGAAGAAGAATTTATGGACGACCGTGATGAAGAACAACAACTTCAGAATGAACGTCGATCTGAAAGTTCCTCTAGGCCAAAGAGAAGAACAACGGTAGATCGAGGTCGTGAAGAAGGGAACAATCGATTATTCAATGACTACTTTTCGAAAAACCCAATATACACAGATGTTCAATTCTGAAGAAGGTTCAAAATGCATAGGCATGTATGTCTTCGGATTGTAGATGCCCTTGGAAATCACGATTAATATTTCTAAATGAGGGTCGATGCAACTAGTAAAATGGGTATTTCACCATTGCAGAAATGTACATATGTTATTCGTATGCTGGCGTATGGGTCTCCTGCTGACTTTGTAGACGAATATGTTCAAATCGGTGAAAGCACTTCAATTGAGTGCTTACAAAGATTTGTTAAGGGCGTGAATGTTGTATTTGTGGCTGAGTATTTGAGAAAGCCTAACAACACTGATGTTGAACATCTTTTACAAATGGGAGAGTCACGTATGTTGGGTTCCATCGATTATATGCATTGGGTATGAAAAAATTGTCCTGTTGCATGGAAAGGACAATTTTGTCGAGGTAATCATGGTAAGCCCACAATCATGCTTGAAGCAGTGACACCACAAGACTTATGGATTTGACATGCTTTTTTTGGTATTGCAGGTTCAAACAATGAGATTAATGTGTTAAACCAATCCAACGTGTTTAACGATATTTTGGAAGGACGTGCTTCGAATGTGCAATATACAATCAATGGGACACCATATAATATGAGGTATTATTTAGTAGATGGTATATATCCCGAGTGAGCTACATTTGTCAAGACCATTTCAATGCCACAGGGAGAAAAGAAAAAATTATTTGCTCAACATCAAGAACCGGCTAGAAAAGATGTGGAGCAAGCATTTGGAGTGCTTCAATCTCGATTTGCAATTATACGTGGCTCAGCGCGTGTCTGGCACATGGACACTCTCAAGCATACCATATATACCTGCATCATATTACACAACATGATTGTGGAAGACGAACGAGATACATATGGAAGTAATTTTGATCACTCTTATGATAATGTGAGTATCAATAACTCAACAAGTGAAACATTTAGCGGTCCTCATCCGAATCCTGCAACAAGACTACAAAGAAGAGCAAGTATTCGTGAAAAACAAGTTCATCGTAAATTTTAAGGAGATCTAGTTGAATATATTTGAGAACGTTTTGGACGTGAAGATGATGAAATCTAAATTTGATTAATTATGTGATGTTATTTATTTTTACTGTTTTTAATTATATTTCATGTATTTGAGATTAATTTTAATTATCATTTTAAATTATAAGTTTAATTTGAATTTTATTTTATATCAATTTTTATTTATTTTATTTATTTATTTAATATAAAATATAATATAAATAAAATATTAATATATAAAGTAAAGTTGTGGAACCCAATATGAAATTTTAAGAATTACACAATTGAAGTGAAAAATCAATTGAGTTGTTTCAAACTGACGTAGTTTAATAGGTCCCACAAAAAATTCTTTAAAAAAAGAATTTTTTGTTGTCTTTCTTTCTCTTGTTTTGACAAGTTTCCGCCTGTATTCACATAAAAAAAATTCGGTCTCATATTTTATTCTTATGATTTCATATAATAAGACTCATAATTTTAATTTCTCTATAATTTGTATAATTTTATACATCCTCATTGTTCTTATAGATCAAAATCAAAGTGACTTTTTCATCCATCCGACATTTTCTTTGACATTATAACTCCATTAAAAATTTAGTAAGTTCCATCTCCAAGATTCTTATATCCATAACCAATAACCAATAGTCCATGATGGATAATCAATTTCCAGATATAACTTTACAGTTCAATCAAGTCTTTCTATCTAATTTTCTAGTAAGAAAGAAACCTATATAAAAATAAGTAATCACACTCTTAAATGTGATAAGATGTTAACTCTTTTTTTAAAGAGTGTATTAACAATAATAAAATAAAAAACCGACAATAAATATAAGATGGATTTCCCTCCGTGTTTACCTCCCTTATACCACCACAGCACCACACCCGGTATTATGCACACCCAACCTTTCAATATACTCCCTACATGCATATTTAGACTCCTAAAAAAATCTCCTGGAAATATGCCCTAAAATAAATCTTCTAACTCTTCCCAAAACCTTACTTAAAGAGTTCTCTACTAACCCAACATTGGATGCAAAAGCACTAGTAACATCAAAAATGTCTTATTTCACTATAAATTTCAAAGTTTTAATCTAATATCCTATCCTTTTTACATTCACACTATCATTCTTCTACTCTTTGTCTACAATAATTACAATAATAATTCTGACCTCATTTCTCCATAATTTTACTTACGTACCAAAGCTCAATTCCTGAGCTGTCCAAGTCTTTCATCTTTTCACCCGTCCGGTTATAGTGTATTGTAGATACATAAAATTAATTATCCTCCTAACATAAGCATGGACGATATGTACTGATAAAGAATTAAAGAAAAACAAGTGCGTGACAACTTTTCAAAGACCGGAAGCAAAAAGGTTGCTATATTTCAAGAGACCAAATTTTTTATTATATATATAAAGATAAAGGTCCACTACATGACATTCAAAATTGAAACCAAAATGATATTACCGGTACCGGGCGAGAACTGTAAAAATGGAATGAAAAATAGATATGCCTATAATTAACAACATTTATTGATTGAAATTAACTGCAAAAGGCAATTTAAAATGTTCACTGAAAAATACTACTGACAGAACTATCATCATGAATACGCCAAATAGTTTCACCCAACAGGTTTGCTACGGTAAGAATAGTTAACTGAGGGAAATAGTTCTTCTCTGAAACTGGAATTGTGTTGGTAATTATCACCTCTTGAAATAAGCCACTTGATAGCCTCTCAATTGCAGGAGGGCTGCAAATATAACAGCATGATAAGACTTCAGTTTCATACATAATGCAAAACATAAGTTCCTAGATACATATATTAATGAGCGCAATGTCAACAATGAACATAAGAATCCTCGATTTTAGAATAATGCTTGACAACTTAAGCAATATGTATGCTAATGGAAATTGAAGAGCATGGAATAACAAAAGAACTGAGAATAAATTTGTGTTAAAGAACTGCCAGCAATACCTGAATACACCATGAGTACAACAAGCATAAACTTCCCTAGCTCCCTCTTCATGTAATAGTGCTGCACCCTTGGCAATGGTTCCTGAAATCCAAAATAACAAATATCAGTCAATAAAAGGATAAACAGTATATACAAACATCATATATATCATGCTTTCCTACACAAGAATCAAGAAATGCCACAAATCTTTGTTAGGGAAATGAAAACTTAATGCAATTGATAGAATCATAAAATGATTGTAAATCTCAATTCCTGTCTTAAAATAGTTTTAACTATTAAATAAAGGTAAAAGGAAAGCATGCTAATGGAATGAAAATGAGTGGAAAATGAAACGATTGTTTAGTTGTTTGATATATGAAAGGAAAGAAAAATATGTATCAGGACATAAATATCCCAACATTTAGATGGAATATTATATATTTTTACATAAAACAAGCAACCGTGTGTAAAATAAAACAAAGGCATATTTTCAGATGGAGCATTCCCACCGCCGCCAAAAAAAAGGGGCAGGGGGGCAAAGTAGAGAGGGTGTGACAGAAAACTTGGCTCGACCCGGCAAAAAGGGCAGGGCGGACCAGCAGGCTCCATCACTCCTAAAACCTAAAAGTGACAAAAAATGTCATATCCACACCGTTTAAGCCTGCGCTCACCAAAAAACGGGACAGGTGGGCAAAGTAGAGGGTTGGGCCGGAATGATAATGGCACACTAGGAGATAATGATAAAGCAAAATAATTGGAAAAAACAACAAAAGGCTCCGATGCAAACAACTGTGAGGACCATTTTGTCATTTCATGAATTGCATGTCTGTTTTTTACTTTCTTCTTAGTTTTGAATCTTTTGATGAAATGGATTTTGAACATGGGGTCCCACAGAAATCAAGCCTTCTTTCATCACAGACAAAACATCCAAAGGGTGGAATCCCGTTTTCCCATAAATTTTATTTCCTTTGTTCTTTCCATCCACTCACTTTCGTTGCAACCGAACAAAGTGTAAAGTTAGATTAAGAAATTTTCTGTAAGTAAGAATAAATGATTTCTTAAATCCTGATGCAAATGCGTTAAAAAATAAAGTACACCGTTATAATGCTACAGAAACTTAAGGGATCTGTTAAATAAAAGTTCTTGAAAAAAAAATTGGTATATAACAACAATCATAAGAAATGTCCAGTCATGGAAAATGCTAAACAAAATATATAGGAAGAGAGTTACAGAGACTTTGTAGGCGTGTGTCGGAGAAAAAAGGGCCAGGTTGTACATAAATAACGCTTTAATCAGTTAAGGAAATATAAATATTTGTTTTCTTAGTTAGACTTCTTTGACCAGGAAAAAAACTACAGCAAAAAATGTCTTCAAATGTTAAATTGTGCATTGAAGAAGGCGTACCAGCAGTGTCAATCATATCATCCACCATTACAGCAACTTTTCCTTTTACATCACCAATCAGATTCATCACCTGCAAGAGAAATATAAGACAAATAAATAAACTTTAATGATCCACATAGTTATTGTGATCTCTCTAGAATACTGTAATTTCTGTCAGACAAATTAAATCCCCGAGGGATCAAAACACTGTAAACAATAATGTAACTTATTGTGATCGATCACTCTAGAGCATGAATCCTCATAACCATGCCAAAACCAAAGAAACGGGACAACAGTGTGAAAGTGCCTTGTATCAGGACCACAACATTAATAACGGATTCTAACATATTAATTATAACAACCTAGAAGAACAATAAATGGTATGCAAACCAAACAAAGCTAGAAGTATTAGAGAGTTGTTGTAAATTACATAATAGCATAGTCGTAAAACTACCCCACTTATGCCCTTCATGTAACACCGATCATACATATTGTGCTAAGCCAATAATACAGTAAGGAAGCAACTTTCTTATGACCTTCTATATTTTGCAGGTAAAATTTAACATTGTACACACCAAATAAGTATTACCAATAGCCACAACTGTCAGTTAAGTCAAGCGTAGCGAAGTGTACCAGTGAAGGAAAACTTATTTATTTAGTGATAGATAATTAACACTAATAAAAACCAACGAACCTATGTTTGAAAAGTATAATTGTATTTATAAACGGCAATTCCAAAATAAATATGACAAATAATAATTCACAGATTTTATTGCAGTTATTACCTCAGCTACATTGTGTCCATGACGCCTTTTGTCTACAATAGCCAAAGGTGCATCAGATAACTTCTTAGCAAAAGCACGTGCTCTTGCAACACCACCAACATCAGGGGAAACAACCACCAAGTCGTTTGAACTTATTGTCTTACTAGCAAGATAATCCAGGATCACGGGCTAGTGAACACAACATAAACAACATCATCAGAAGACACATAAAATACACAAACTACAATAAATTCATAGCTAATAAATTACCTGACAATGCACATGATCCACGGGAATATCAAAGTAACCCATGGACTGCCCTGAATGAAGATCACAAGCAAGGACACGATCCGCCCCAGCTTTGGTAATAAGGTTTGCAACAAGTTTAGCTGCAATTGATTCACGCCCTTGAGTCTGTTAAAGAAAACAAATCAAACCAAAAAAAAACTATAGAACTACTTCTATACATAAATCCCTCAAAAAAAAAAAAAATTACACATTTCTGGTAAATATATAATTGCCTTTCTATCAGCTCTAGCATATCCAAAATATGGAATGACAGCAGTGATGTTTTTGGCGGAAGCTCGTCGACAAGCATCGATCATTATCTGAAGCTCCATGAAATTCTCATTTGCAGGAGGGCATGTTGGTTGTATAAGATATACATTGCAACCTCTAACACTCTCTTGTAACTGGACATAGATTTCACCATCTGCAAATCGCTTTATTGAAACTTTTCCAAGCTCCAAACCCATATACCGAGCAATTTCCTAGTCGAAGCAGCATAATAATTTCATAAAAAAATTAAATAAACTAAATATTTAAAAATGAAAGTAAAGAAAAAAAAATGGAAGTACTACCTGAGAGAGTGCAGGATTAGCGGTACCGGAGAACAGTTTCAACTTGCTACCGTTTCTATTAACGGTTTTCTCAGTTTTTGCAGATTCCATGAACTTGGGTAGAACCGGAACAATCGGTTTCCCGTTAACTAAATTCGAAGCTTCAGACATATCACATTTCTAGCAAGAATAAAATAATAAAAAAAGGCATAAAGTGTAAATATAATAATAATAATAATAATAAAATAATATAACAAAACAAAAAGAAAGAGAGAGAAAAAGAAAAATGGAACAGTACCACGCTATTGTACGCGACGGTTCGAGTGCGGGGAAGGTCAAGAAAACCTAATGTTCGAACGGTGGAGGGATGAGATTCGCCGGTGAAGAGAGAGGAGGAAGAAGAAGTGAAAGGCAAGGTTGATGACGACGTGTGTTGAACTTGAAAGAGTGATGAAGCCATGTGTTCGGGAACAACAACACGCGTCACTGTTAGGGTTTGTGTTCTCTGCAACACGGGGAGAGAAATAGAGAGATAGAGGTAGACGAGAGAGAGAGTGAGAAAGGTTTGAAACAGAACAGAGCGATTCTGGAGCTCTGTTGATGCTTGTGGCGGGTCTGTGGGGTTTAACACGCGAGAGTGAGGATTCGGTTTTTAATGTGATGGGGTTTATGTACGACGTCGTTTTAGTGTAAGGGCTATTTCAGGTTAGATTTTATTTTAATTATTTTTTCAAGGAAAAATACGATTTAAAACAATTTTAAAATAAATCGTCCAAAGTAATAGTTCCCTGATATATCTATATTTTAAAATTGCACGTGTGGAATGTAAATTTATTTTACAATGTTAATAATAGTGCAGACTCAGTTTAAAAAAAAATAAATTAATTTACACTTTTATTTTATATAATATATTTTATTTTTCTTGTAAATAAAATCTATTATATAATAAAACCAATTTTTAATTAAAAATTAAAGAGAAAATAAAAGATACAGTCACTCAATGAACATTATAAATCTTATACTAATCATTTAAAATAATTTAAATGATTCACAAATTGATGATTTTTTATTGAAAACAGTCAAATTAAAATTTCACGTAGATAGTGTAGAAAGTGCATGTCTTTTAAACTCAAACTAAAATATCAGAAAAACTATCTGCTAGAGACGTTAAGTTATAGAGACTCAAACTAAAATATCAGAAAAACTATCTGCTAGAGACGTTAAGTTATAGAGAAGGGGGAGGAACTTCTCTTTTTGGTAATGAAACATTTATTGCATCCATACTCTTTTTATTTTGGGTCTGTTTCATGTAAATACATTTAATTTAATTTACACTTCCTACATAAATACGTGACTATTTTTGTATTTGCATAAAGCGTGTTATTTTTGGGTTAGACAATTTTTTTAATCATTTTTAGAATTTTTTATTTTATTTATTTTGAAAAAAGAAGTATGTTCTTTGTTTTGAAGATAAGTCCCACCTATATCATTTTCCCAATATGAATACATTCAGATTCATCCACCGAATATTACTAGTTTGAATTTTGATACTCTCTTGCCTTTTTCTTTCTTGTTTTGACATTTATTTTATATTTTTATTATTATTAACTGTTTTTTTTTTTTCCAGATCTAACATCAAAAGCTTTGAGTGTTTAATTTGCTGAGAGGTATTTATACATTTTAATTTATTTGTATTTATTTTGTATTGTGTTGTTGTTGTTGAAAATTTAAAAAAATAAAATATGTTATGTATTATGTTTGGTTGTGTTGGGTGTTCAAAGCAAAAATAGAATATGTTAGAATATGTTATGTACTGTTTTTGTTGAAAATAAAATTGGACTTTGAGTGTTGTGCTGTGTTGTTGTGCTGTGTTGTGTTGTTGTTAGAATATGTTAGAAAATTTTAGATTTTAGATTTTATAGAAAATTTTAGATTTTAGATTTTATAGAAAATTTTAACTAAAGTTTTAGATTTTGGTGTATGTGAATATAAGTTATAGGTATTTAGTGAATATAATTTGCCAATGGTATTAAATTATAGAAAAATATTTATTTTAGAAAAACAGAAAAACAGAAAAATATTCCGTATAATATAAAACAAATTTTATTATAAAAAATATTAGTATATATTACTTTATTATTTTAGTATAATAAAAAATATTTTAGTGAATATAGAAAAACAGATTTTATTAGAAAAATAAATTATAGAAAAATATTATTTTAGTGAATTTATTATTTTAGTATAATATAAAACAGATTTTATTTTAGTGAATATATATTACTTTAAATATATATTAGTATAATATATTATTTTAGTGATTTATATTTTACTTTAACACGTATTAGAACTAAAACACGTATTATCATTTGAAATATCAACTTTGAACACATATGAGTCAATAGTCTATAATCTATAATTTTTTTAATACCATTGGCAAATTATTTATACTAAATACCTATAACATATGTACACCCCTAGTTTTTAGATAATATATGATAGGAGGTTGAATGAGTGGTTTTTGGGTTAGAATATATCATATGAAACATAGGTTGAGATGAATATATGAGATGGATATTATATATGTTAGGTGTTAGCCCACACACTTAACACATTCATCACATTTTTGCTATGATATTGAAGAGGTTAGGTCACACACACTTAACACACCAATCACACTTATGCTATCGTACAAAATTGATATCTTAAGTGGAAGAAATAACAAAAAAAAAAGAGAGAATTGAGGAGGTTAGGTCTACACACTAAATTTGTTTATATTTATTGTGTATTGTGTTGTTGTGGTTGAAATTTTGAGAGTTAGGTTAGAAAACAGATTTTATTATAAAAAATATTAGTACATATTACTTTATTATTTTAGTATAATAAAAAATATTTTAGTGAATATAGAAAAACAGATTTTATTAGAAAAATAAATTATAGAAAACAGATTTTATCATGTGACTAAATATTTATCATGTGAAAAACAGATTTTATCATGTGACTAAATATTTATATATTTTAAATGTATATTATTTTAATTAAAAATTATTTTAATTTTAAATTTATATTTAATATTTAATTTTTATTTTAATTTTATAGTAACTTTCAGTTAGTATTATTTATTTTTTTTATAATTAAATTTAACAGTGAAGTGAATCCCATGTCACTAATTAGTGGCGTGGGAATCACATGGGAAGAATATTAATTCTGTGAGGTTTCCCACGTGATAACAAGGTCACAACTTTGTGACGTGGGAATCACATGGGTACTAAATTTACTTTGTATCAAGGAAGCGTGCAGAGCAATTTGGTAAAGGTGAGTTCCCACATGTCTTTCACGTCACTAATTAGTGACGTGGTTTTCACGTGGGAAGTTTTCTTCTTTATTTTGTGATTTGCGACGTGGTAAACCTGTCACAACTTTGTGACGTATTTTCCACGTGGGAAAAAGTTCCCACCATTGCATTTCCGGCGTGTTTTACCCACGTCGCAACTATTGGCTAGTGAAGTGATTTTAACATTAGTGACGTGAATATCACTTAGGAATAGACAATATTTCTTGTAGTGAAAAGTTAATAAACTAGTAAGATATCCCTATATACATTCATTTAAAATTATATTTAAAAATTAATAAATTAGTCAGATATTCGTATGGCCGTACATTTAAATTTATTTAATATAATAATTTTAAATTAAACAATAGTTATTTAAATTTAATTACATTAGAATAGAAAAGAAAAAAAAACGTGTAAGATGAAAGAAAAGAAGAATAATTAATATTTGAAAATAAATATTTTATCTTTTAAATTAAGGTAATTATTAATTAAAATAAAATATGTATTATATTAATAGTGACCTGTGAAATAAAAAGTTTATTTGATTTAATATAAAAAAAATTACTTTTTCATAGCGATTATTCCATTGAATTTTTTTATTTAAAAAAGTTACTTTTTCATAGCGATTTTTTGATAAAAGCACTGTCTATTTTTCATATTTTTATGAAATGATTTTTGTTGAATGGTGTTGCACCATTTTTTATAAATTTTTTTCTGCATAAACCTGTTTATAACAATTACATTCACCACAAGCTTTTATTTCAACACTTTGGCCTTATATATACCATAATTATTGTAATTTAACACATAAGTCTGTTTATAATTCAACAAAAGTCGATCCTCACAGCAACTTCACAAATACATTCACTATACATATAATTACAAAACCGATAACTTCACAAATACATTCACTATACATATAATTACAAATTCCATATTTTCGGATCCTCACAACAACTAACTTCTAGATCGAAGTATATCAACAAACTCTAAAACTACATACAACTTCCAGAAATATAATTATCCAGTAGTATGTACATAACATCACAACAACACAAATCTCTATAAATTTCGATCAAAAGACAGAAAGACAATATATATACCTTATACAATTCTCAACTCAAGAATGTATTGACACCATTCCTCCTTAATTTCTTCCAATTTGTCTTTCGAGTAAGTACCACACTTTAATTCATCAAAGTACTACATAATATAACATAATATGCATGATTTAGTTTTAAAACTAATTACTCAGATGAAATATCGGTTAAATATTAAAATAAATCATATAACTTATAAATCCATACCATGTTTGAAATCTTTATTTGACCCGAATGAATAATTTTCTTCATAAATCTCAATACAAAATATCTGCAATCAATCCCATTGCGCTGACGAGGACATTGTAAATGGAAAAAACAAACGAATATATATCAGGATATATAGTTTAACTAGTTTTATCAAGTAGAATCACTATAACAGTCAAAATTGTGAAAATATACCTGCACTCTGATCCAGCTAATGTTGTTAGCCTTCCTTTTGGCAATGTTGTTTGTCTTTGTAATCGAAATATTTGTCTAGCTCTAACTTAATATAAACGAATATTTAGAACAATCTCACATAATAAATAAAGATAATTATTCAGAATAATATATCTCATCACTTACGTATCAACCATATTCTTCATATCAGGATATTTTGTTTGATCACCATCCAATGAATCCAGATAATATACTATTTTTTTATCGTATTAATCGCAACCAACAACCCGTGTCCACGGTAAAATAAGACAAAAGTTTAGACGAAAATATTATATAGAATGCCAAAAAACGAATAATTATAATAAATGAATTTAGAATGAAATATAACCCATGACCAATATTATATGGCAAAAAATACAACTTCTTTATATCTGTGGCCATAAATGCTTGGACTAAGTAATCTTTGACTACATCTGGAGTGTGATCGACTGACCGTGCGTTGATACAGCTAGAAGATAAGAATGTGAATCTCTCTATCAATTAATGCGGGACCAACAACGTGTCATACAAGAACCTTAAATAAAAACATAATCAACATTATAATATTCATTGAAATGAGCAAATAAATTGTTCAATTATTTAATTAAA